GGAAGGAACTGCTGCATTTCCTTCTTCACCACAAGAAATGTCTGTAGGGCCACAGTCCAGTCTGACTGCTCAGGCCAATTAGCCAGAATCATTAACTGCAGATACACAAGGCTTCCCTTCCAGACTGTAGGTGGAGTGCCCAGGAAGGTGTGTGTGTGTGTTCTGGAATCCTCCCTGTGCCTGGCAGCAGGGTGAGGGGCACTGGGTTCCTCCCCACACTGCTGCTCTGACCTCAGCTTCTGCCAGGCTCTCTTGATGACATCTTTGGGAGCCAGAACCTGCCTGCCCAGGAGACAAAACAGCTAGATCCTGCTCAGCATCCCTCACTGAGGGAGGGAGCTAGGAGGGGCAGAGGAACAGAGTCAGAAAAATCCCTGTCTTTAACAGAGAGCGTGATTAAGTTGTAACTTGTGTTGACCTTCATTTATGTTGTACATAAAGTCTGTTTTCATCAAAGAATCATGGAATCATAGGATGTTTTTAGGGGTTGGGATGGAGCTTAAGGGTCATCCAGTCCCAATCCCTGGCTTTGGACACATCCAGGGGTGAGACACCACAGCCTCCAATAAGTATTCCTGCAAAGATTGTCTGTCATTTGGAAGCTCTCCTGCCAAAGACAAATAATTCTGAAAATTTATGTCAGACAACAAGCAAGGGAAAAGCCTAAATCACAATGTTAATTATTTTTGAGAGAAAAAAAGGTTGGTCTCTACCAATTAGAAATTAAAAATCTGCTGTATTTCAAAGAAGAAAATTGAGACAAATTTTACATCAGGACACAAACCCAGAGTTTTTACATCAGCACAGGCTGGTTCAGCTGTTAATTTCTTTTTTTCAATGGATTTCCAGCTTTATACTTTACTTTCATTCTGTTGATTTTTCCTTTTTTTTCTGCTGGTTGCAGAAATGTTCTTTTTTCCCAGAATATGGTCTCTCATTCCCAATTCATATGATTATTTATTTTCCCTATAAAGAATAATGCAGTTTATCCAAGCACTAAAAATTGATTTAGATATTACAAAGACATTTTAGGTACAGACTGTAACCGCTGTAAAGACATTGGCCTGAATTTGGCTTTAAATTTCCTTGACATTTTTGCAAATAATGCTGCCTGGAATAATTTGCTCCTGGGCATTTCCATATCACAAGGAATTTAGAAATAGTAGTCACCATAATTTGTTCGGGAAAAAAATACTTTCATTTCTTGTTGGGGCATGGAGGGAGCTGTAATGTGGGAGGATACGAATTCTACGTTCTTTTGATTAAAATGATTTTGATGGTATATTGAGTAATTAATCTGTTTGAGATTAGTATCCATTAATATAAATAACAATAGATACATTGCCAATAGATTTAAATTTGCAAGCGACAAAGCATTCTATGCTCTATTAATTTATAATATATAATATTGTAAAATATTCCATATGTTTAATTTTCTGGCAGAATCTTGCTGATTTTACGTATAATGCTTTAAAGACATTAAAATACAAGCTCCTGATTGTCACCTGCCTATCCATGTTTTCCTGTTACCCACTTGTTGGTGCTTATCCAATCTTGCTTTGCAGTTTTGTTCATATAATTGGACACAACTCCTCTTAAACCACACTTTTGTTGTGAAAAGATGTCCCTGGATTCCTGATGTTACAAGAATCTTTATTTCACTCTTACAACATCAGATTCTTTTTGTAATTCAGGTTGTGTGTGAAGAGCATCTGACCTGCTTTTGCCATAGCAACCAGACCTTTTGATTTTACCAAAAGAAAAGCGAAAACCATTGGAAATTAGAAAGCCTTATTATTAAATTTGGGAAAGTTATCCTTTCATTTACCATTGTTTTGTCCTTCAGCAGGGAAAATATTGATTAGAAAATCTCTTGCTGGTAACAAATTTTCTGTTGCAGTGAGTCTCTTAAAACACTATTGGGACAGGAAACATAGAAATTAAGGCCTCATTCTAAAAAAAACATTAATGGGTACAATAGATAAATTACATTCTTCTATTTATCCTTTAAGTTCTCCACTTTGGACTGCGTGAAGTGTTGCCAGTTTTTATAGATCTGTACTTTATTATGGCCTTGGCTCATGCTGCAGAATTTCTTATTAATGGCACCACGTGAGGGGGAAGAAGATCATTTCAAGGTTTTTGGGGATGCAGAACCATCTAGAGCTCAACTTCTGCATTGGAATATGAGCTTGTCCCCCATATCCAGCAATTTGTCTGTCTGCACATAGCTGAATCCAGGGCTGTCTCTCATTTGCCTCTTGTGTCATCTTTGTGCCTCTTGCAGCTCCAGCAGGCTTTTCCTCTTTCTCCTGGCCCCCAGCATGAGGTTTTTCCCAGCATGCTGAAGGCTGCCTGCATTCCAGCAGCACTCATTTCACCCTTCCACTTCTTTTCCATGGATGTTATGTCTTCAGGCAGGACTACATGTATTTTTCCTTTGCTCTGGCTATTAGTGATGGCTAATACTCAATAATTTATATAATAATGGGCTAAAGTGGGTCTGGTTCTGCTCTGTAGGAATCCCTTTTCACCCTGCACTGACAGACAGTCTTCCAAGGCAAATTTCATTTCCCAAAAGTGTTGATTTGCATCAGCTGCTACTGCCATAAACACATGAAATCACTCCATGGGTTTGAAATACCTAACTTCCTCCTTACAGTGCCTCTCTCTTTCTAGAGCTGGAATTGGGAGTGTCAGCAGATCTGACAGATAAATAAAATACCAAATTAGGGAAGTTTGTCTCAACATCTAAGTAGTTTTTGTTCTGAGCATCTTGCCAGTTTGTGGAGTGAAATTCAGGACTGAGATTCAGTGCTGAAAACTCCTGCCTCCCCCCCCCAAAAAAAGAAATGAAGGTAGATAATTTCTGGCAATAGGACTCTCACTGTCTAACACCTGGAAATTTCTTTTGGCTGGAGTCCTACACACTCTTTTGTGACTGAAATTAAACCAATGTACAGTTGGTTTGTACAATGATTCTAATATATACATATAGGTTATTAAGTTTTCCTCGTTCCTTATCTCATATGTAAGAAATGCTTTCTTGTATGAGTAGATGTTACATTGTCAACAATGTATTGGAAGCTGCTGAATTCCCCATTTATATTGGATGGATGATCAGGGAATGTTTTATGTAACACTGAATTATCAGATGGACAATGTGTGTTAGTTAATGTGCTCAGGCTTTAAATATTTTTAACGACACCCAGTACAGTAACGTAGTTTTTCATTGATTATGTTCCGTGTTTATATTTTTAAAAAAAAGACATGCTAACATTTTTTAATTCAGCTCAATTTTCAGTGTCGAGTTTTGGTATCATCCAAGGTCAGTGCCCTCCCCCCCTATCCCATAACTTGTTAGGTTTATAGGAGTTATAGGTTATAGGTTTTCTCATATATGTCAGGAAGGTGCTTGACAAATTGTGCATTTGGACCCATCCAGGTGTAGGACTTTTCCTTAATGGATGTTTCCTGGGACTTAGTATGTACTCCTTACTGTGGTGGTGTGTAAATGTGCAGTTCATGGAATCTATCTCCTGGAATATACTACATTAAAAGGCTTAAAAGTGATGTATTTATAAATATTTTTCTGTCAAATGCTCTGTTAATAGATGGCCATGCTCTGTTAAGTGATATCACAAATAGCTGGGAGTTGCATTAATAAAAACCCTGGTAAACATTTACTTTCAAATGCAGTTTTACGATTTCATTTTAATTCTGCTCTGTAGTAGTGCAAATCAAATTCAGCTTCAGTGCCCCTAGTCACAGCAGCAGCACTGATCCCGAATTCAATTGCAGCCAGGCAGGGGCCAGGGTTTTAAAGCCTGCAAGGTTTTAACAGTGCCAGAAGTGCTGGCATTGGAGACCATCAAAGCAGCTCTCTATTATGTCCCTGCAGCACTGAAATACCCTGCAGAGGCAGGATCCCAGGTACTGGAATCCCTCAGCAGAGAGATGGATTTGGGCTAGTTAGCTTTGATTTTCAGCAGGGGGAGTTGGGGCTGAGCTGGCACTCAGTGGATGGAGCTGGGCTGACTTTGGGAAGCTCTGAGCACCTGTGCTGTGTGTCTGATCCATATTCCCAATCAACCTGGTTTTGTTGATGTATCACCTTTGTTTCAATATTAATGCGCAGCATCTTTCTGACAGTACATTTATAGCCTTCTAATATGTAGTAAACATACAGTGGTTTGCAGGAACTTCTATAATACTAATTTAAACATCATAGCAAGTATTTAGGGTCCTTCCATCACCATAATTCACCTCCAGTTGCTTATTTATAAAATTCTTGCTCTGCAGGCTTTTGTCACGATCCTTTCTGAGTCCTAGAATTAATATCAAGATAATTAGAAGTGCCAGATAAAAGCCTCTTCTCCTATTGACAAATCATTCTCCTCCATATTGTTGTTTTCTTCTGTTGAGAAAAAAAATCATTGAAATGTTTCAAAAGGCATCTCCATTGTGGATCTCACCTATGGGAGGTTCAAGTGTTTGCTGTGTATTCAAACCCTTGAATCATATTACTCAACCTGAATTGCAAATCCCTGGAGCTACCCACTAAATCAAATAGCATGTTTCCTTAGGAGGCAGGAAAAGCAGGAGATATCAAAATATGTATTATTAAAATCCATTTCAGTGTGGGTGCAATTTGACGATGGGTTCAGCACTTCATTTCAGCAGAAAAGACACTGTTTTTTTGGTAGTGGTATTACCATGTATTTATCCTTGATTAATCCAGCAGTGAGAACACTGAAAATGGAAACAATTGTGTGAAGGCCAGGGAAACTTGTGCCAAAAAAAAATATTTGGGGAGTGGTTACAAAGACCAGGTAGGGTGGGTCCTGCTTGAAGGTTACTCTGTGCCCATTTTGGGGGTACCAGCAGTAGTTATTGCACAGTGTTTGCCAGTTTTCAGGGGTTACTGAAGGTGTAATGCAAAAATGGTGTATTTGTGTGAGGAGGCAAAGTGTAACACTGCCTGTGTCTGCCCTGTTTAGTGCTGAGCATCGGAGAAGGTGGATTCTGGGAAGGCAGCACCCGGGGACATATTGGCTGGTTTCCTGCAGAGTGTGTGGAAGAAGTTCAGTGCAAACCAAGTGAAAGCAAAGCAGGTAATCACATCAAGCCCCTGTTGAACCCTAATGTGACAGATGCCACGTGTCTGTCCCAACAGACACATCAGGGCCTTTGTGTACTGCTAGAAATGGGAGAATTGGATAAAGCTGAGCTGCTGAATTAAAAAATACAGGTGGGTTTATTGATTGGATTTTACTGTCCAAGCAAGCAGATTTTCTCATGAGGAACTATGCTGGGAAGTACCAAAGCTTTTACACAGAACTGTGTGCAGACATTTTGTATAGGATTATGTTGTTTTGTTTTTTTTATTATTTTCTAAAGTGTGGGAAAATGTCTAATGAGACAAATAAATAAGGGAAGAAAACTTGGCCAGTCATTTCCCAGTCTGAAGGAGTTATACAATGCATTTAGCTCTTGTCCACAGCCCTGTTGACCTTTCTCTGAATGCTGGAGGAGGCATCCTTTAGTGGGATGTCCCATACCCATCCTTACTGATGACAAAGGAAATGGAATCCTCCTTTATCACATGCATGTATTGCCACAAGTAACTTTAAGCAAGGAGCCTTTATAGTCCTGGTATAATAATTAAAAAGACCCGAAATCTACATTAAAGCAGGTTATTTTAAGAATTGCCTACCATCTCATCATTTCTCTGCTTTTAAGAATTAAGATGTGAGGACATCCTCTCTAATTAAAAGCTCATTATAAATGGGCTATGAGAATATAATTAATGTTCTCCAGGAGTGTATGCAGTTTGAAATAATCTATTGATGTGTTTTTAGATCTCTGTTGTATTGATTAAAAACTTCTGGCATTGCACAGATGATACACTAAAATTTATGCATCGTATCATTCATTTACAGATGTTTTTCTTTTATGCATATCACTATAAACTACAAGGTATACTTTTCTTTTTTTTTTTTTTTCCTATGTGGAAAGGTTGTGCTTCCTTTTCTATCTCCCTTTTGAGAGGGGAAAAGAGAAGGGAAAACCAGATCTAATATTTGGAGAGAATGGATCCAGGCTCCGAGAACAGAGGGAGAACAGTCATGTAGCTCTTCAAAGGGCTTGAGAAAAATCAGAATTTAGAGATGGAGATATATTAAACAAAAGGAAGATTGAAGCCGGAATTGCCCAATGTAGGAACAGTAATTTTGCATTAAATTTGAGCTGTCCATTTGTCTCCAAATCTATAGAAAATTCTGAGGGCACGAAGTGAAGTTTAAAGATAAGAAAGAAGTTTTGCATCTTTTTAGTGATTTTGAAGAGGGAGTAACCAACCTGTTTGTTACAAATCTTTAAAGACTTCCTTGAGAATTACTTCAGGAGGTAAATTCAGTATGTGACAGGATTGTCTTAATAGACAATGATTGTTTTTTGAGCAAGAATGTCTTTGATCCTTCAAAGGAACACAAAAATTAAGAAAATGATTGTCACAATAGGAACAAAAGTATTATGAAAGCTGGAAGTAAGAAAAGAATATAAACAGAAGCATGTTATAAATTTTCTGACATGAAATTATGAAGACTTATGCCATGTGTCTGGCAAAGCACCAGACATTTACTGTAATTTATAACTATTGCCTTCTTTCTGATTGTTTTCCTGTTTGCTTATGGTACAGTGGGAATAATAATGTTAATATAGCTTAAGGCTTTAAATATGTCATTCTTCTACTCTAAAAAGGATGAAAATGTAAATAGCAACAAAAGGGACACATTTTCTTTGGCAGTGAACTTGTGCACTCCCATATTTTGCTGGGCTGTCTCAAAAAATGTCCCATACCCAGAATGAGGTTCAGTGCTTCTGTGAATAATGTGATAGAGGTTGGAGCTGGGAGGGAAATGAAATATATGGAATGCACAGTATGTGCCATATTATTATTGAAATATGGCATGGAGTGAAAGCAGCTGATCACAGAATTGCTCTGTGCATTCCCTCTGCATAGGAAACAATGGGAATGAAAGGGAAAAGCTTTATAAGCAAAAATCAGCTAGTATTCCCTCTGAGTAAAAATGCAGAAGTAATTTAGAAAAATGTGTTAGGCATGGTGAAATGATTAGAAATTAAATTAGGTCTGTTGGGATTGCTGAAAGAACATCAGCTGAGAAACATCACAAACTTGTGCCACTTGCAAGAATTTGCATCGTGGTCTTTGCAAAGCAGCAGAACTTCTTATGATAATGATTTAGAAAGTAGATCATTTCAATGTGGAGGAAATGAAGCTCAGACTCAGCCTTTTCCACACCAGCACCACAGCAACAGCTCTTTCCCCTCAACAAGATTTAGGAACATTTCTTCCAGCAGCTTCCCTTTGCTATTAAGTTTGAACAATTGGGTTTAATAGAGGCTTGTCATTTGCACGCCATGAGTGAAGGAAAGAGGAATAGTTCTTGGAAAAAACAAACTCCAATTAAACACTCCAGGCCCAGTAAAACTGCTGGGCAGGTGTTTCATGTCAGGCTGATGTATAATCTCTCCTCTAAGGAAAGTTCCATTTTTAGGGAACGTTATTGCATTCCCAACTGTTCTCTGGAAGTGGGCAGGACAGAACAGCACCTGGTTCCTGTGTTCTCTTCAAAGATATCATACCAGTTTGGCAGGTTCTGTTTTCCAAAAAAAAAAAATCATATTGACTGGCATTAATTCTACTTCCTTTCTTTTATCCTCCATTAATTGAGATTTGGAGGAATTGCTCCATTATTTTGCTAGGGTTGATGCCAGGTCTGTGGGCTCCCAGTTATCCAGGTTGTCTCATTTGCCCTTGAATGGCACCAGCACAGGACCCGCTGCTTTCCAGTTTAAAGAAGTTCCCTTGACATTTAGAGATCTAATGGAAAAAGAACAACAACAAAGAAAATCATTATTGTGGTCTGCTAAATTCTTTTGCCTGCTTTTAAAAAATTCTTACAAACAAGACCTTCGTGCTACCTCATTTTCAAAAGTGCCAGTTTTTGACATTTTCTAGCCAGTTTTTAATATTCTGCAGAATTATTCTGAGAGTAAAAATATTCCCTCAGATGAGATTGGCACATCATCTTGCATTTTACCTGCTCAAACAGAGAATACAAATGTCACATATTTACTCTTTCTGCATTGACAGTTATCTTGTGTTATTCGGTAATGAGCCAATTCCATTCTGAAATGTCTTTCTATGCCGAAGTACATTAAAATGTTTTTGGTGGTTTTTTTTGCTAAAATGTTCTGGGTAAGTTGAAAAAATGTTTCTCCTGCTTTAATTTAGATGTTTCTGTTTGCTTTTCTTCCGTCATAAGGTATTAGATGAACTTGAGAGACTTACTACATAAATGCTTTCAATTACACTTGTGATTTTATGCTCCACATCCTTCAGAATTCAGGGCTATCTGATTGCCCACAGCTGAGGTGAAGTATTCATTTTCAGGCTGGAAGTTATCTTTAGCTACATTCCAACTTTATCATTTATTACTCCTCCTTCCCTAAAATGCCTGGAGAACTGCTAGATTTTACAAATGATACTGATATAAAGGCAGACTCAGCGCGTCTGAGAGATTCTTGCTGTCTTTCAACTCTCGTCCTCCTCAGTGCACCTTTCCTTGAGTTCCAGCCTCATTTTTAATATTGTCTTAGGGTGAGTTTTCATTCCATAGCCTATTTCATGCCTTTTTCTATCCTGTGCCCTTGGGATACACCTTATTAGCAGCTGTAGGAGTGCTGGGAGTTTATTTCAGATCAGATCTGATGCGGGCTCATGGCTGCAGTGACGATGAGCAGTTCTCAAGAGCTCCTTTTTCCAGGCAAGGATCTGGTCCGTGCAGCCCGAGCTGTGCCAGTCCCGGGGGCTGTGGCACACTCGGAGGCAGCACTGGCAGGGCACATTCCCGGCCCTGCGCTGCCCATGGAGCTGTGCCCGTGCTGACCTCTAGTGTCACAGCACACTCTGCCAGGCTCCACACTGGCTTTTCCTCTCCAAAGTGGCACAGAGGCCTGGGATATTTGTGTCAGGAAAGGCCTGGATCAGGAACAGTGTGGCCAGCAGGAGCAGGGAGGTCATCCTTTCCTCCAGCCTAGTCATTCTGTGACTCTGTGAACTCTGTGACCTCAGGGATCACTGAGACCACACTGTCGGCCAGACTGAGTGCCACTGAGCACAGTGCCTGTGCTTTTGTTTGGTATCCCTTATTTCTGAGTTTCCAGCAACTTGAAAATGCAGTGACAGATTATCCAGGAATAATACAGTTCCCTTGCAATTTCTTTTTTACTTATGTAACCGTACACAGGTGTTAAAAGCAGAAACTGCAGCAATCCTTGTCCAGCATTCCCTCTCCATCGCAGAAGTTACCAAACAACTCCAAGCTGTGTTAATGAAATGCATCCTTTTGCTGTTTCTGAAGCAGAGAATTTTCTGTTTTTCACATTCTTAGTTTTTAATGTCGTGTGCGTTCAGTAAAACCAGATTTGTTCCTCATTTCCACCATCCCTTTTTATAATTAGCACAACACCTTCCCAGGCAGTCGAGCCAGCCAGGCTGCTAGAAAATGGATTTGCCTTCCTGCAGGAAGGAAAGATGCTTTACTGTGGATTGAGGAGCTGACATCTGTCCTGGCCTTCCAGAAGGACAGGAGTCTTGGTTTCCCAAATTTGCTGTCTGGACATAATAATATCCCATAATATCCCAGTGCCTTATCCCATATAATTGATTCTATGATTCTGTGTTCAACACAGCAGTGGAGAGGGAAAAATACAGATAAAAACCCCCTTTTCATCCAGCCTAAATGGCCCACCTTTTTTAAATAACCCAAATTAGCAAAATCCTTTTTAACAAATTATTCCTGATTTGTTATGATCAGTTCTGGCTAGTTTTTAGCTAGAAAGGCAACTGAAGAATAAACAGACATGTTGTGGTGATTATTAGAACTCTGAAAAATTCTATGCACAAATAACTTTGGAAACCACTACAAATAAATGGATTTCAATGAGACAGAAGAGATGGTATCTCACCAAATGAGCACCTCAAGGGTTTTGATAATAAAGTTTGATAAATTCTCCTTCCACATGA